AAAAAAAAAAAGAAACTAGTTATGTGAAACACAAATAAGTTTACTATAGATCTCAGGAAAAAGGACAGAAATGGAGATGGTGCTTCTGTTCTCATTGAGCCTCACAGATGGTAACAAAGGCAAGAGAATGGATGAAATGCTCAGGAAGAAAACGGAAGGAAAAATAGAAGGACAAATCCTGAGGATGTCAGTATTGCAGAATCAGTAGATGAGGAAAAAAAAAAATTAGGAGAGATTCATACCAGTGAAGCCAAAGAAAAAAAAATAGACAACACACCGGGGTAGAGAATGGGGAAGTCATCATGGTGATAGGCTACAGAGAAAGCAAATGATTCAACACAGGTTGAATAGTCACTGGCAATAAGGAGGTCAGTGCTGACCTTAGCAAAAGTAGCTTCGGAAGAGACAGGACAGAGTCTAGAAGGCAGTGTGTTGAAGAGTGTGCCAGTAAGTGTGCCTCTTAGTTTCAAATTCAGGCCGGGCGGGGTGGCTCATGCCTGTAATTCCACCACTTTGGGAGGCCGAAACAGACGGATCACCTAAGGTCAGGAGTTGGAGACCAGCTTGGCAAACATGGTGAAATCCCGTCTCTACTAAAAATACAAAAAAAAAATTAGCCAGGTGTAGTGGTAGGCACCTGTAATCCTAGCTACTTAGGAGGCTGAGGCAGGAGAATCACTTGAACCTGGGAGGTGGAGGTGGAGCGAGCTGAGATCGCACCATTGCACTCCAGCCTGGAGAAAAGTGAAACCCCATTCAAAAAACAACACACACAGGCCAGGCTTGGTGGCTCACGCCTGTAATCCAAGCACTTTGGAGGCCAAGGCAGGTGGATCACCTGAGGTCGGGAGTTCAAGACCAGCCTGACCAACATGGTGAAACCCCATCTTTAAAAAAATTTTTTAAATAAATAAAAAAACACACACCAAAAAACAAATTCACCCTTTGCACTTCTCTGTGAAAGTGGACCTGAAGCTCTGTCAGCAGAGGGTGCTGGAGAGGCACTTAAAAAGGAAGGTTTTGTTTCCTAGCTCTGGTGTCCTGGCTTGAAAGGCTCCTGCAGCAGCCAGGGCTGCTCCATCATCCGGCTCTTGCAGCGTGGGTGGCTTCTCCAGCACACTTCTGGGCCTGCAGTGGACAGCGGCTAGCAGGCTACCTAAGCATCTGTCCCATGCCCACCTGCTGGGGCAATTTTATAGGCTGCTTTTGGTGTCTGCTGAGACACCTGCCTATGAACAGCTTTCCCCCTGTATCCTACAGCAGGGGCCAGCAAACATTTCCAATAAACATTTTACACTCTGTGGTCATTGGGTCTGTCACAACTACAAATGACCCTTGGACATAGGTTTGAATTGTGCAGGTCCATTTACACAAATTTTTTTTCAATAAAAGTTCTGTGTGTACTGGCCTCCCTACCACCTCCTCCACCTCTTCTGCCTCTGTCACCTGAAGACAGCAAGACCAACCCTTCCTCTTCCTCCTCCTCAGCCTATTCAAGGTGAAAACTATGAGGATCAAGACCTTTGTGATGATCCACTTCCACTTAATAAAGAATAAATAGGGCCGGGCACAGTGGCTCACGCCTGTAATCCCAGCACTCTGGGAGGCTGAGGTGGATGGATCACCTGAGGTCAGGAGTTTGAGATCAGCCTAGCCAACATGGCAAAATCTCGTCTCTACTACAAATACAAAAATAAGCTGGGCACGGTGGTGCGCATCTGTGGTCTCAGCCACTCAGGAGGCTGAGGCAGGGAGAACTGCTTTAACCCAGGAGGCAGAAGTTGCAATAAACTGAGATCATACCATTGAACTCCAACCTGGTGGACACAGCAAGACTCTGTCTCAAAAAAATAAAAAGAAAAGAGAAAAGAAAACCCTGTCTACTAAAAATACAAAAATTAGTTGAGCGTGGTGGTGGACGCCTGCAATCCCAGCTCCTCGGGAGGCTGAGGCAGGAGAATCGCTTGAACCCAAGAGACAGAGGTTGCAGTGAGCCGAGATGGCACCACTGCACTCCAGCCTAGGCTACAGAGCTAGACCCTGTCTCAAAAAAAAAAAGACTGGGCGCAGTTCTTCATCATGCCTGTAATCCCAGCACTTTGGGAGGCTGAGGCAGATAGATCATGAAGCATGAGGTCAGGAGTTCGAGACCAGCCTAGACAATCTGGTGAAACCCCTATCTCTACTAAAAATACAAAAATTAGTCAGGTGTGGTGGTGGGTGCCTGTAATCCCAGTTACTTGGGAGGCTGAGGCAGAAGAATTGCTTGAACCCGGGAGGCAGAGGTTGCAGTGAGCTGAGATCACGCCACTGCTCTCCAGCCTAGGCGACAGAGCAAGACTCCATCTCAAAAAAAAAGAAAAAAAGAAATTTGAAATGTCATTCAAACAAAGATATTCAGTTTAAAATGTTTTATTTCATAGCTCATAAAAAAGTTTGTATGTACAAGACTCAAGTAAATAGAAAGGCAGCTTTCAATCATAAATCAGATAGTAGTCTTTCAAACTCTACTGTGGAAGCATATTTAATGCACACATTTGAATGTTATGCATAAATAATTTTAACTATGGAGTCCAAGTTCTGGGTTTTACATTAGATTTGCATATATAAGACACTTGTGGTCAAATTTCAAGATTGGTAAAAGTCAATTTCAAGCTGCTTATATTTTGAGTACAGGTTTCACTATTACAAATATATAATGTTTAACTAACAAATTTGTAACCTTCGAAGATGTCTTCATCCCATGCATATACATTTGAAATCTGAGTCCATTTGCTATTTCCCTTCTTCTATAATCTTCAAATTATAGTAGTTATGCATTGAGTTCTCTATTCATCTCACCCATCTCCTTTATCTGAAACAGGAAAAAGCATAGAAAAAATTTTTTTAAATAATTTTTCAATCTTTTGTTCATTCTGAAAATAGCAATAAATAAAAACTATTAGGAATACAAGATGATTTTTTATTTTTTTCCACATTTATAACATTTAAATAAAAAAAGAAGAAGCTATATTGCAAGTATACACATATTTGAGTGTGTTCAAGCTGCTATTTAGAGAGAAGATCGCCAAAGTGACTTGTCGCAGGTTAAGCTAGATCTTTAAGAATAAGATCTAGGGTAAGTCGCAGTTAAGCTAGATCTTTAAGAATAAGATTTTTATTGAGTGCATACTATTTTTAAGGCTAGAAGAAATTGATTCACTTTCTATTATCAATCTTTCATTTTATATGTGGGGAAACTGCAGTTCAAAATTAGTGTTTGTCTCAGATCACACAATCAGTTACAGGCAAACTGAAACGACAATAATGACTACTACTACTCTGTTGACAAATACGTTCTTATGTGGCAAGCATGGGACTAACACTTTACACCGATTATGTTTAATCCTTGCAACAGGTCCATACTATCTATTTTCCCCATTTTACAGATAAACATGGAGGCTTAAAGAAGTTGTATAACTTGCCCAAGCCAAACCCAGGTCTGTACTGCTCTGCACTATACTACATTGTCATTCTTCCTGTCTGTAACAGTTCAATTCAGGGTTAGTCTTCTAGACTTGTGGTTACCAAATCAAGTAAGCCAGATGATCTACTACAGAATGGGAAGAAAATGCTAGAACTTTCCGGTTCTATTAGATTTTTTCCAATATTCCTTTATGTTTCTATTTTTATTACTTGCTAAAATATTAGTAAGTGGCACATATACAACTACAAATTTAACATTACAAAGACACACAAAAATTGATAGTATATGAAAAATGTTACTGATAGGGTTCAAGGACAAGTGTGTTCATGTTCAATTCCAAGAGACTAAAACACACTATCTGACACTTTGATTTCATACTAATATAGATGACTAGTTAGTACACAATAGATTTATTGTGACAAATTAAGTTCATATTAAATGATTATTTCACTGGCTTAGAGATAATAAATCAAATCGTTAGTCAAAATGAGTTTCTCCAATGTGAATCCACTGGAGTATGCCTTTAGAAGATTATTAGATGTTGATGCCTTGTAAAATAAAAACCATAGGCTTCCCATTTCACTCTATGAGGCAGAAATCAATAGGTGGTGATCTGCTGTAGAATTCATGCAAGATTTAGGTAACAGCATATTCTAAGACTGTCCCTAAGATTCTAAAGACAACAGTATAAAGGGACTCCAGTATAACTGAGATGCATCAGTGTGTAGGAAGGTAGAGTGATTACGAGTAAGAGATTCAACAGGGCTTTTCTATTTAGCTAAGTAACCAATTTACCTCAGCCTTCTGATACTTTGCCATTCTCTTCTTTCTGGAAACAACCTGAGTGGAAGAAAGATAATTATTGTTTTAGGACTGCTGCTCAAAGGTTAACCAAACTGACATATATCCTTTTAATGGAGATAATTTTGATCTGAAAAAATTGATTTTAACATCTATCCATAAACATTTATTGTTTCTTAAATTAAAAATTTCACACCAGTGCAGTGGCTCACGTCTATAATCCCAGCACTTTGGGAGGCCAAGGCAGGAGGATCATCTGAGGTCAGGAGCTTTAGACCAGCCTGGCCAAGATTGAAAACCCCATCTCTGGCCGGGCGCGGTGGCTCACGCCTATAATCCCAGCACTTTGGGAGGCCGAGGCGGGTGGATCACGAGGTCAAGAGATTGAGACCATCCTGGTCAACA